AACCCGGTAAGTGCTATCACTACCAAATTAGCCTTGAAACTTCTATTGCAGATGGTCAGATTCACATAACAACTTCTATCAGTCATCATTAGAGACCGATTAGGTAGAAAAATTGATAAGAAATCAAACATTTTGAATGCTTCAAATCCTTAAGAGTTCACAAACTTCAGAGATAAACAAATAAGATGCCGTGATATGAAATAAAGTTCAGATCAATATATGTTGGATATATATAAAACCTATAATTAAAGAGTATAAATGTCTCGCAATTTAAAGAAAAATTTGATAGATTTGCTTAGACAATGAATTACCTGTAATGAAGTTCGGTGAATCCCTTACTTTCTTCTGATCTAGTGTATAAACTCTAGGCTGCACACCCTGACTGGTTTGACTCGGAGCTGGAGCTGATCATGACGACTCAACTGCCCTGTCTACCGAAAGTTCTCTGAGTAGGTGGAGCACTAACTCTAACATTAACCTGAGGTCTCTAGCCTAAGATAGGGCAAGACCTCACCATATATCAGGGCTGATGGCATGAAAACCAATTGTTGGTGCTCGACAAACACTCTCCTCTATGTGTCCTTCCACACTTCGCACAAGTAATCATACTGTTGCCAGTGCTACTACCAGTACCGCTATCGCTGGGTCGAGGCTCTTTCATACTAGACTGCCTAGACTGGACAGACTGGGTGGCTTGTTCCGATTTAGACCTGTCATCTCCTCTCTTTTTCTGGAAATCTCTATGCCTTTGCGTAGCCATTAACTCAATCTCTATCCTCACCCTCTCCACAATAATTAAATAATCCTCGATGCTAAGGGGAATTAAGGATTGTTGGATGACATCCTTCAATCCAGAGAGAAACTTATGACACTTTTTCTTGGCATTGGGGATTAACTAAGCGCATACCTGGACAACATCGTGAACTCAGCCTCATACTACATAATGAAATGGTCGTCCTGCACAAGCCTAATGAACCGCTACTGCATCTGTCTTCTAGCTGAGAGAGGAACAAATTAGTCACGAAAGTCCTCACAAAGATCTCCCACTGTATCTGACAACTAGGTTATTCGCCAAACTTCTCCTGAAGCTGACCCTACTACCACCTTTCTACTTCCCCCTCGAAAGCAAAAATAGCTAATGTGACCCTTCTCTCCTGAGGGCATGAAGAACCATCAGTGATTTTCTCTCCCTCAACAATTTATTCTCTGCATCAATTGACCCTCCTGCTCCTGGAAATAGTGGCGGTGAATATCCTAGAACGACTTCAGATATTTATCAATCTGAGTTGTTTCGCTTTCACTGGCCTAGGTTTGGGAACCCTCAATGAGTCATGTAACTACAGTCAGCAATTGAGTAAACACCTCCATAGGGATGCTAGCACCACTTGATGAAGGATAAGTATGTGCTGGAGTCACCTGATATTGATGATCAACACCTCTTACCTCTTTATCATTTCCATCTGTATCCTCCTGGTCACATTCAATTACCTTGAGATAATAAAAAAATTAGCATTATTAACATAACATTTAATAACTTTTTAATTTTCTTAATGATTATTTTTAGTTTCCTAATGGATCTTTATGATGAGTTTCTTACTGCTATTAACTGGGCTCTGATACCACTCATCACCACTTGACACAGTGAGCCTGGAATTACCAAGGCTGGAGCTGACGGTCGGATTAAGGAAATCTATCTAACAGTTTCATTTCATCACAAAAGTTAAAATCCAATGCACAAAAGAGCCATTCTAGTTCATAAAACTTGAATTTGCAAATGATTGTTGATATTTAAATGTTTACATTCAAACATAGAATAAATTAAACCACATACCTGTCAGCTTGCGCTTCATGGCGTTTGTACACATACTTTTCGAGGTTCATCTAATCTACAACTGGTTTGTTGTAAAAATGTTAGTAGCTATGGTTTGAGTTAAAACTACTCGACGGGTAAATATTTCTAAATTACAATAATTCTCATTTTTAAATTATTTTTAATAATAGTACGATATCAGTAAAACCCGTGCAGTAAAAAAAACAAATTCATTTTTCTTTCATTTATTTCGGTTACTCATTTCACAATTGAGAGTCACCGTCTAAATGTACATTTTATAAAAATATATGCTTAACCTTTTCCAACCCACCATAAAGCTAGACAATCAATTCTATTTCGTGCACGAGTACAATGCCTCCTGTTAGTACCATCCAATGGTAACTCTCATAAGCATGCATATATCATAATTTATTCAGTTTTATCGTCCATTTAACATTTAAAAGAAATTATATACTTCTGCACTGAAAAAAAAAAACTGGGAAAAACAGTAAATAAACAAAACGATTGTAAAATATAATGCATTTACCCACCTCAACAGTGTCGTCTGCTAACATTTTTATCAGGTAAGTCTATTCTTTTGGTACATATATAATAAATATCTAAATGAAATCAACTTTTTTTTCAGTGTTAAGCTTTTGTCTTATTTATTGTAAATTCTCTTAAATATATATTTACCTATATGAACATATATTCATATATA